GTCCTAAACCATGTATAAAAAAAATATATTTGTTGAAAAATGAAATTAATACCTATGTATAATATAATGTGATTCCAGTAGTGTTAGCTTTATATTGTGATGTTTAAAAATGTGGCATTTCTCTCTTTGATGAGTGGTCAAATAGTGAAATGCTATCTTGAATGTTTACACAACATGCGTTTCCGCAACATTTGTTTCAAATCAGAGAGATAATGATGATATTATTACTCCTATTCTAATTTACAAGAGGCACTCTATGCCCTTTCACTGTTGTCTGTATAATTTCAGTAAAATTTAAATTTATAACTATTATATTTCTTTTTAATAAAAAAAATCGTATATATCTAATATGTCAATATTTTTTAAAAATTATTGCATACATTGTACAATGTACAGACATACTAGTATCCATATTAAGTAAGTATATCCATATACATGTTGTAGTGTATTGGTACAATGGATTCGGTATGGATTGAATTATGGAAGAGGCGAAACTGGGCCGGTGTAAGGACAAGGGGGGAAAATGGAAAATGTGTGTCGCCAAGTTGCGAGCCTAACAGCTCCTGGTCAGAGTACGGGACCGATAATGGATTGATCAGATACCACTTTGGGTACTCTACTGTTGATATATGAGCCACTATAATATTGCTAGCTTGTTTATGTTTAGAATAATCTTTATTATAATTTCAAGACAAATATTGTTCGTCGTTCTATTTCATAAAAAATGTTGAACTTCTTTATACGTAGATCCTTAAATATATTGTGATTCTAATATAATAATTTTCTTAGAAACGTGCTATACGAAAAATTGTAAAGAAAAAATTCAAAATTTGAATATTAGTTATTAATGTAATTAATTTTGTCTTAGAAAAGTCATATGTTTATTTCCTATAAAGACTAAACATTTCATTTGTTTTTTTTTCTAAATAAGTACTAAATCTTAGGATTCCAAATACTCATATTTACATAATTTCAATTGGATTTGTCTTTTTTAATTCATTGACCATAAATCGTTGACGAATGTTCGACTCTACCTCAAGTAGGTACTTCATCATTTTCACCAAAAGCTAAACTTGAAGTACTTAAATAATATCGACATCTATATAATAAAAAGAACTGTCTAAAGCTACAGAGTGACTAGTTCATTATCCAAATGGACTACAGCTATTTGATCCACTTATGTGATTGCCTGCAAGCATTATCTCTCCTTTACTGAATGGAAGCCATAAGTCTACCTCGTAACTCTCTCGCTTCTTACAATATTTGTACCTACATTTCATACATATATAACTATAACCACGCTTAAATTAACATTTTAATTTAAAAACGCTTAAAAAATATAAAGTTCTTGTAGCGTGTTAGTAGTTTGTCACCTGTGAATAATATTCAGTTAGATTTCAACCTAGAGGCTGTCTGACTATCTATTGTACCAAATAGACGTTGTTATAACAGATGGTTTCTAGCTAACAAAGATTCTGATTACATTCGGCTAAATGACAATTAAAGACACAAGTATTACCTATGACCACATCAACGGTGCGATTCTTAGAGGTGATAGGTGATTATCACCTATCAGCAGCACACCAATTTTAATCTAGTTAAATAAAATGCGAGATGGTTAAATTACAATTTTAAGCATAAAAAGTTACGGGTTTTAACTAGGTATAATAAGCCTATGAAAGGTTTGAATGATTTAAAATATTCAAACAATTTTAATATAAAATAATTAGTAGGCCTTCATTTCTCATAGATACTTAAATATGTAAGTATCTGTGAGAAATAAAGAGACTGAGATCCATATTAACAAATCAACAAATTGGTTCCAGTCCAATCACTTAGGAGTTGTTTAATATCGCTACAAGTTATAAGACTATACCTACATTATTATTTATTTTTTGCTGCATGTGTTTCGTCCACTCATAAAATTTGGTTTATGATAAGAAGGCAATCGTAATGCGGGATATTGCTGATTGTGATGATATCTTGGCCAAAAACGCCGTTCACAATCCATGTTACGTACTAAAATGAATTGTAATGAATGTTACATTTCCCCATTTTATGTTCATTTACCAAAGTGCTCCTTCGCACAAGTATTACGTAGGTAGGTGTTCATTATTATAATAATCTTGAACAATATATAACATTGTGAAACCGTCTAAGATATTTTACAAGTGTGTACTTATGTACATCCTTACTAATATTATAAATGTGAAAGTAAGTGTTTTTGTTTGTTTGTTACTTTATACCACTTTAACGGCTTTATCAACAAAAAAATTATTTAAATTTGGTGTACATATACTATGATGATGGGATTAAACTTTTTATATTATATACATTTATATTTTTATATAAGTTGGTTTTTGGTCTTGTATGTAAACATATCCCTATCACATAGACGAAGTCACATATACAAACTAATAAATATACACATTGTGAATTTATAACAAGAGGTATTTTAAAATAGGTCATAATTCATGAAAAGGTTATTATGTAAATTTTACTACAATTTTGTTTTCGAATTAGACTTTCATTATTTATAATTAGTAGGTAATCCATAACTAGATTTAATTAACGATACTGAATAATCCATGCGTCCCATTATAATCCTTCTCTTAATGGCATAAGATTCTAAAGACTCTAGTTAAACTAATGAGTCTTACTTTAATATTGGCTTTCTTACTAGTTACTACAAAATAAATGTAAGGTTTTATATGTATTTTATAAAAATTGCTTAATTAATACTCTGGTTATATGTCTACTCCAGACATGTTACAAGTCTTTTATCTTATTGTAATCAATTATCATTGCACACAATTAACCCCATCTCGTATTAGACGTATATTCTTTGTTACCTAGATAAATAAATAAATAATCAAAATATAAGTTTATCAAACTATCCAAAATATTGGTTTATCAACCTATCTTTACACAAAGTCACGAGAAAACCGATTGACAATGTCCTCTATCTTTACACGCATCTCCCTTCCATAACCCGTCTTAGAAATACACACTGAGACTTAACTCTTCTTGGATACAAGTTAATCATTATTATAGATTTGTCTAGGTTTCTTTTACTTCCTATATATGCTTCCACTTCTGCATTGTATCTCTGTTTCATTAATCTTTCATCGAACATTCTTTTTACTATGGCGAACCAATGCCCTTTTTATATGCCCTTTCTCATTTTCACATTTTAAGCACGTACTTTCTTTCAAACCTTACTCTGCAAATTTTGCGTAACACTAGCACTTTGAACGTATTTATTCTGCTCTCATTTTGTTTCCTAAATGCTCAACTTACCACATACCATATTATGTAGATACCACAATGTACAAGAGGACTACTACGGAATTTTATACAGATAGGCATACTTTTTGAATTATGACTGCCATATATCTATCTTTACGCCAAAACACTTGCCGGGTAGGTAGAGAAAATCAACTGCTAAAATAGATTTTAATATGGTATTTATTCTATTCTACGACTTTACTCGTTTTTTCTATCTTTAGTAAATCGACATTTACGTTGTACAATTTTATCTACTTATTCCATTAACTTATAACTTATTATAAATCTTTGCAAGGGTTTTCAGATTTCAGTTTATTTTGAGCAAATGCACATGTAAACATACATAATAAAATTCTTTACGTATTTCATTACGTGAGTAAGGTTTACAGATCTGTCTCAGAGAAAGCAATTAGAATTGTCCAGCTTGCATAGAGTAAACAGTTAATTCACTTAGTGGGAGTGAAGCAGTTGAAGGGACAACCATTCGTACTCCCATACTAATCAATCTTTTGAAATGGTTTGGTCAAACACATAATGACTGAAAGTACTTACACCAATCTTTACATCAAATTAGGTTGATATTTATTTATTTATAGGATTACCAACATAAGATACAGCTAAACATTTTAGTACAATACACTGGTAGATTAAATCTAACTATTCTTACATTTATAGACAACCACAGCGTGCCTTGTGTTTGATAAACATGTTTGATATACTACCTCCCATAGTCATGAATGTACAATTGTTCATATATAGACTGTACAGAACGCAACTTATGTTTATTCGTTAAATCGATACTAATTCCTGTAATTTTAATAATTTACTTGTATTACTTTTTAAACTTTAGCTTATGGTATATTCTTAAACCATAATTATAAAAAATCCGCAACGGTTTTTGAACCTGAAGCAGAAGGGAGATTCACTCTATTTCCTACAATTATTCGTCGGAAATGAGATTTCGGATTAGAGCGTGGCGGTTGATGAAGACGCCGTCAAGATAGACGTAGACGAAAAAAACAATTAAGAATAGAATTAATATGATCGCATACCAATTCATGGACTTATTGTTATTATTTTTTGAGGGATCTGTGTCACTTATTATTGTGGCATTAAATATCGATTACTTTTTTTATACTTTATACAAACAAGCATACCACCTGATGGTAAGCGTTTACGACTACAAAAAATATTACTTCAAAAAAATAATAAAAACTATAAATTACGTTTGCCGTATTCGTAAACATATACATAAAAATAGACACAAAATTTATTAACTGTTATATATACTCGTAATAAATGTACATATAAACCATACGAATGTAATTGTAAAAAATAATTTTAAAATATGAATATTTTTAAGTCAATGATTCTAATTAATATCAAAATGGCCTTTCAAAATAAGTTATAATTACTTATTTATTTATATCTCTAAAATTAAATAACTTCTGGTTATTATTTTGGTATGATTATCTAAATCCATTTATTTACGTCCTCTTTATCTACATTTACCTATCTACTAACTCTAAATATGTATTAAAATTATAACTAGGTATACGTTACTCAACTTCGTTAATTAAAAGTTAACAAAACCGTCGCTATATAATTGGATGGTTTGTCTTAGCCACTCTTGTTATAAATTAGTGAAACTACATAAATACATTTCTGTAGTTTATTATTTTTATCACAAATAAAAGCTATGTATTGTAACAACAAGGTACATTATGGTAAAAAAATTTCCTTCGTCCATAAGTCAAAATAAGCCATTAATCAGCGGCAGGCAGTACCTACCATAGGAACCCAAAATTGGACCGAAAGGCCGCAATCAAATGGCCCGTTGAAAGTTCTCTAAATTGCATACAAAATGTCTTCCACAGAGTAGCGGGGTCCTGACGGCTATTACTTACAACGCAATATCAAATTGCTTTCAATTTATTTCGCAATTGCCGTCTTTGAGTTTCGCTTTGTTGGGGCCTCTGACGTCGGTCCGAAGCAACAATAAAATGTATTCGTCTCCGGAATGTTTAATATGGGGAAAAGTTTAATAACGCGTCCGGACGGTGGCGGCGGGCGAGCGGACGAGAACGGCCCGCCGCCGCCACGCCGCGCCGCCCAGCGCCCTGTTCCCGGCTGGTCAGCGCGCCTTAGCCGGCCCACTGCGATAAATCAAATCTTTTACCTTCTACATCGCTATGAGAAAAATTCTTATTACATTCGAAAACATTTTCTTCGACTTCCAGCAAAAAAGACCATTATTACATTCACTACGCAAACACAAAGCCTAATATTATGAAATGATTGATGTTAAAGTATGAACTTATGTTTAAGTACCTAACTAATAGGCACTTAAGTATATTATACGAGTATATTCTTTTAAAATGACAATATCTTGGTAAAAATGTTACTATTTCACACATACTTTTTACACAAATAAAATTAATACAATTCATATTTACAATGAGACATAAAATCAATGACGAAAGGAATATTACCTTTGAAGTCTTTCAATAATACCGATTATAAAAATTAACAATATGTACACAAATAAAATTAATACTTAATTACTTAAAATCAAGACAGTCTTTCATGACGATTCCTTCCAGGCAACCTTGGGATGAAGAGGAGGCTGTATAGAAAAATAATAAGACTAAAAAGGGAAACTAAAAAGGCTAAAGATAAATTTAAACACAGTAAATAATATATATACTTATATATTTACATAAATAAATAATACATACATATTAATGAACATAAATAATGTAAATTTTTATAAAGGCATACTAATATGTATTAGACACTACGATGGATATGATTTCCTTAAATAGTACTTTTTTACTTGAATTTTAAAATAGTTCATTTGTTGCATGTTATATTTACGAAAAGCATTATAGTGAATATTTTACTTAATTCGATTTTATTTTGCGGGAGTTTATGTAATAAACCGTGTAACTGAACACGAATATTTACTGTTCTTCTGTTTAATTCCGTTTCCATTAATAGGTATGTGTGTATATTAATATGTGTAACCATCACAGCAAAAACAGCGTCAAGTATTCACAAAAACTATAAGTACTTGATTTAAAATGCATCTATCATATTGTTAATCGTTGTACGTATATAATATAGAATGTACAAAGTCATAGCAAAAATATGTATAAAGAAGTACCTAATGAGGGTTCGTCACGTCATGTCAGCCCCTGAGGCGACGTGGCATCGCATCATTAGCAAACGCCACCTTTGTATTCCAACCCGCCTTCCCTTACTATAAAGTCTGTTTTGAATCAAATTCACTATCAAACCAAGATTGTTTGTTGTGTACTAGACCGTATCTCGCAAAGTGTACAATAGCAGAAATGGACTTTAGTGAATGCAATTATTGTTTTAAACAGTAATGGAAATAGTAGCTTGTAATACAAAACGTTATAAGTTGCGGCCTCATCAAGACGCAGCAGTGCAACGAGCTCAGCCCTGAAACCCGCCACGGACACAATGGATCCCTGACGTTAATTAAATGTTAACAAACGCCCTCGTCGCCTAATTGGAACTGTTGCCTATTATCCTTACCTCCCGACGCGTAGAATGACTTCCATCCAAGCTTGAGAACAGTAGGTACCTACTTCAGACTTTTATTCGGAATTCTTGGGACAGCTACTATTGTGTCCTTTGTTCTGTTTCTCGTAACTAAAATAGATACGTTTTCATGAGACACCTAATACAATATTACAATTTACTTATGTAAATGTACCTTTACCCACTTTAAAAGTAACAGGTTCTATTGATACTGATTTATTTTAGTAAAGAATAATATGTATGCATGAATATATAGTATTCAAGTAACATAATAAAACAATAATATTACTATTTCAATGATTTGTAAATACTAATTAAGTATTCAACAATGTATAGGTAAATACCTACTATGATACAATAATATCATCATTATCATTTCAGCCATTAATATAGGTATTTTAAATTCTAAGCCACCTACTATTTCTTTACAGGAGGATTAATACTTAAGAAAATGAAGTTCGGCTTTCTCGTAATGAGCCGCTCAAATTAATCCCTCTTTTTAATTACCTAACCTTAAGAGAAATTGTGGCCGGAAGATGATGCTTGTGGATAAATATATATAAATTTGACGTCATTCAAAATAAAATCATATTTATACTTATAATTATCCTTATAAGGATAGTAAAAGGTATGTTTTGCCTTTGTGATGAAGACTGGACGTGCCTATATTTTACCGAAATTATTAGGATTCAATATGATATGGGAGGAGCCTCTATAGTTAGTTACAAAAATAAATAGAATAAAACTAAATGCAAAACTCTTATAATCAGAAGGAGATTTAATACGAAAGCGCTAGCGCAATTCTGCTGAGAAGCAACTTTGCTTGTATATCTTTCTTTCGGTTTAAAGGTTGCAATATAGCAATGAAATTATAGAAAATAAAGCCATAACCTCGTAATCCTCAGAAAAACGTCAAAAAAGGAGTTATCACGAAACTACAGAATCTGTAAAAGGAATATTCAGCAGATTTTCCAATGACCATTAACATTACGATGAACAATAAACAAAAAAAGGAAAGATGAAAATAAAGTACTTTAACTACATGACGATAATTAAAAGTGTAGATGTCAATATTGAGAATAACAATGACTTAACTATACCTCCTGACGTCCGTAGCAAATTCATTGGATCAAACAATTCAAAGATTTTTCGAGAAAGAATAGACAAGTTGCGTAGCTTTTCTTCACCTTGATAGTTTATTAGTTTATCTCACTCTCCCTCTCGCTCCATGTATAGATAATCTCATTTTCTCTTTTTCACACACACCTACACAAATGTACATAGTCGGTAGTTGCTAATAATTTTTACCTTAATTATTATTCTAATATATATATATTTTTTTTTTTTTTACATTTAGGGTATTCTCGCAATTTACATTTTTTTATTGTTATCTGTCTATTGTAACACTAATTGGTTACCTTATATTTATGTAGTCCATGGAGATGGGGCACTGGTGACTTGCAACACTGGTCTTTTCAAACCTACTGCAGGTCCAAGCCTTTCACAAAACTGGTCTAACATATTTAATTGTACCGCAAACTCTTATTTTTTACTACTTGTTGTGAACAGAAAAAAAATCATTCCTTCATTATTTGTATAATTCATGTATGTTCTTGAGTTAATAGTCTAATTCTCAAAATAGTTAAATATTTCCTTTTTTACTAATTTATGCAATAAATAAGTAGATGTTTCCTATGCCTTCACGGACCAGGGACCCCCTCAAACCGGGAGCAAGTGTCATTGAAACTCGTGTTACCACCCTATTATTATGCCACTGATTTCTACACTAATAATAGATTTTTCTGTAGTCTTTTACGTTTAAATAAAAAATAAATTTCTGGTTATTTGATTAGAATTATTTTGTTTACTTCCGCTTCTATTAGTATGTATATAATAATAATAATATAATTATTTTGTTTACAATTTATATACAACGAGGAAATATCTGCATTACCATCAGTCCCCAAACTAGGCCAGACCTGTATCTTGGGGACTATAATATGTGTACCTACATACTAATGGATACTACAGAAATATTAAACAAAAATAATTCTAATTAAATAACCAGTGATATGGACTTCTGTAAGATTTTTTCCGAGACATCTAGTTCAGTTCAATAAAAAATGTGTATTTTATACTATGCAATTACATAAAAACAAAGATTATATTATTTTCTATAATGTTGTCAAATATTTTGTCTACTAGGTTTTGTAAATTTTATTGTAATTTAATTTCAAAGTAACACGAAGCTCATTCTTAAAGTGCCAATCATTAAGTGGTTTACCCTAATGTAATATAACGGCTTACTCTCAACAAAATAATTAAGATTTAGTTCTTACGAAAAACCCTACTTCATAAAAAAATCAAATCGGTTTATAACTGACGGAATTTGAGATACGAAATAAAAAAAAAAAATACAGCCGAAATGAGAACATTCTTCTTTTTGAAGTCGATTGAAAATGGATTTAATCGTGAACATCTCGATATAGAATAAGCCACTTCTTTCTTCCCGTCGGCATAGTAAGAGGCGACTAAGGGATCTTTGTGGTCGAAAGATAGGCAGCAACGTTCAACATTCTAATTAATAATATTCTCTAAATGTATTTCTAAAACTAAATATCAATTTAATATTTCAGCAAAATTACAATGTGATGCAGTGTGAGATTTCAGTCAAAGTTATATCTTTTTTCACAAAATTAACAAAAAGTTTTGATTTTAAAGCTAAATTTAGAGAATGGCGCCTCAGAATCAACCACATTGTTTAGCTACTAAATCAGTAGGTAGCTAAGAACAAGAAATTACATAAAAGGAGTGATAAAATTGTTAATTCATAGCAGGCTAGTGTATAGAAAATGTTATATGATCGTATAACCCTACCAAATTCAAATGCAACCTGCTTGCATACTTTCTACATAAACTGTGTCGAATATATAATCTAGTAATGTAAAATTGGTTATTGACAAGTAATTGACATACCAAACATTTTTTATACACTAGCCTGCTATGAATTGAGAAAAACGACAACTGATGGTGTATCTTCTGTCCTCTTTTTACGTATTATATTTGCATAAGAAGAAAGAAGGCAACCATATGATTTACAGTTTTTATTTTATCATTCCTTCTATGTAATTTCTTGTTCTTACCCTGTTATGAATTGAGAAAAATAGCAACTGATAGTGTACCTTTCGTCCTCTCTTTACAAATACATATCGCATAAGAAGACAGGAGACAACCATATAATTTACGAATTTTTATTTTATCATTCGTTCTATGTAATTTCTTGTTCTTAGGTAGGTAGACAAAGTGGCAACATTGATACTGTCATTGCCCGCTGTCAATTACGCCGGGCTGTCACATAACATAATGCCAGATTAATATTGTTATGGACAAAATATATAAAATAATTTTATTTGATTTTCTATATTTAATTAAAATAATTTAATACGCATTGTATTAATTATTATTTGTTTGTTGTGGTTTTATATGTTTTCAGTACTTAGAAACCGAAAATTTGAAAACAAATACTTCTCTATTTCCATTTAAGAGTTTCCTCTTGTCGGTGCAACTAATTCATGCATCTTCTTGCAGCCAGCTCTATCCCAGGCCATATCCTTGACCTACCTATACGTTATGACACCTAGTGTTTCCTTTATCTGTCCCATGTACTTATTTTTCAGTCTTCCACTTCCTCTTTTACCCTCTACTTTTACCTACCTACATATTTAAATTCTAATTCTCTCAAACGCTCTTTCATAATTGAAAATAAAAATAGTTGGAATAGTGTGAAGTACAATATTTGTAATTTTAAATAAGACAAACAAACTTCCTACAAAATTGATCATGGCACAATTTAGACCCGCCGGCTTGTCAGATGAAGATACAGATAATGATGATTATGGATTTTATGAAAAGCCTGTAAGTTAATTTTAATACTTATTATTTTTTATAAATTGCTGTATTGAAATAGGATTTGCTAAGCATGTTTATTTTAACTTGTTTAATTATATTATATTATGTTATTAAAAGGTACTTTTAAATTTTTTGATGCATAAATTTTTCTTATATATCGTAATTTTATACAGATAGTGGAATAAATTTGTTCCACTATAATTATCCATAATCATATATATAAGTTAATACTTGGCAAATTATTTTTCAAAACAAAACTGAATTAAATATCAAATTCAAATTATGTTTATTGAAATAGACTTGTTTACAGGCAGTTTTAAATAATCTTTGCCTTTTAATCTACTGCAGGGTTGGAAAATTTGTTATTTTTGTATATTTCAGAAACGTTGGTATCACCATACACAACAAAATCAAAGAAAGACTGTAGAAGTTAAGTTGCAAGATGCTATCATTAATGGTGATCTAAAAGCAGTTGAAATGATTGTCAATAATGGTAACCTAACCGTTTTTTATATTATTCACTTTAGTAGTTATGATTGCAGTAAATGTAATATAATAGGGGAAATTAAATTGTTAATATCAAAGTTTTGCTGAGCATATTTAAATGTGACATGGGGCGAGTCTATAACCATGTCTTATTTATTATATTTTATTTTGTTAATAGTATTCCATCACCGGAGTGAAATTGAAAATGTAATTAAACTACCAAAGGATAGTGTCTACCAAATTCAAATGTTCATTCTTTGAAGTCCCTAACTTGGCATGATAAACTACCTGGGGGGCACAGACTGTTACTAATGGGTCTACCAGCCCCATTGCTAATAAATATCATGGTTAATTCGTATTGAATTTGTCATGATGGGGTAACTGGGTCTGCTTTCATCGTCACTTATCATCCCTCAATATCACTCCACTATTTTTACCCATTAAAAAAGCCCTCACTACTAATTTTATATAAAATTGATATGCTACTTAAATAACATTAGTGTCCATTCTTGGGCATTAGCCTCCATACAATTTAATTCAAGTAAGACTGAAAATTTATATTTATGCATTATTTTAACTCATTTCAGATCTAAACAATAATGTTAATTTGAAACTGGATAGTGGATGGACACCACTGATGCATGCATGTTTCCACGCACAAGATATAATTGTTGAATTTTTACTGGACAAGGGTGCAGATCCTAATTTACATGCAGGTTAGTGAAAGCTGTTAATAGAGGTATCTCACAACAAATATTAAAATATACATCATTATATAAAGTTAGAATATATTTAATTATATTATTTTTCATCATTATATTACTTTAAAATATCCTCAAAATAAAAATAATATAATACCAATTTAAGAGAAAAACAATACTAAACTACCTGGCTAACCTAATAATAGTAACCTAGCAGTGTGTGACAGGTGAGTGATGATTATAATAACATAATAATTTGTTAATTTCATTATTTTAGATTCTGTGACTCCAATAATGGCTACGTGTTCAAACAGCAGTGCCAATAATGATGCAATTTTTAGTATTATTACAAACTTATTAGATAGAAATTGTATTTTAAATATTGGAGATAAATATGGTCAAACTCCATTCATGCGAGCAATCAGTAGTGGCCGTGTTGCTGTTGTAGAGAAACTATTGGAAAGTGATGTAAATATTGAAATGAGAGATCAACAAGGTTGGACGGTAAGTATTATATTATTAATAATATTAAAATTAAGTAAACAGTATGATTGCTCCATCATATCAGTCCTTAACTGTTTACTGCTGAATATAATCCTTCCCCATAAGAAGAGTTTTGCCAGTAGTTGTCACTCTTGGCAGGCAGGTTAGCAGCTGCAGTTGGGCTTTTAGAGATATTTTGAGAGAGATGTTGCTGCCCATTGCTCGACCATAAATTATATGTTACTCTATGTCAGAACCACATGGCTTATGATTACTTGTAGTAATATTTTTTTCTAAATTTGAGAGGTAAACATCTTACTTTCTATATAGGGAATTATTAATAAACAATAATGTCTGTAATACACCTGGTTATAATAAACAATAATTGAAATATTATCACCAGACCTTTTATTGCCTTAAAATATAATATGAGATATAATAGGAATATGCAATTTAAACATTAATATTGTTTTCATTATATGAAGATGTAGTTTTATACATATTATATTTTTATTATATATTAATAAAATAATTCTTGTATTTAAAAAATTGCACCTTCTTAGGCACTGTTTTGGGCAGTTCACTACAATCAACCAGAAATCTTAGAAATGCTCATTGCTCATGGTGCAAGACTGAATGAAGTAGACAGATCCAACCGAACACCTTTTGAAATTGCTACGTCACAGGATTACCAGAATATAATTGAAATTTTGAACAAACATTTGAAAATAGATGATACAGATGAGACAAATAAAATTATATACTTAAACCAACTTTGGTCTTGGCATGACTATTACCCAGGTGTAATAACGAGAGAAAAGTAAGTTAAAATTTTTGGTGTAGGTGCTTTTTATTCTAGTGTATATTTATAGTCAATGTATATAAAATAGATGCATAATTTAATAAAAAAAAAATATTATCACTATTATTTTCATTGTTAAATGTAAATAAAAACGTAATATAAAAATGTAGTAATTTTTATATTTACCGTAAGTTTATACAAAAGTCATCTACAAGAGTGCCTCTGTCTTATTCATATTTCTACCACCAAGCAACTGTGCTTGCATTGCTGTTTCAAGTTGAAGTTTGGAATATAACAATAAAATTGTTAGATATAGAAATATTACACCTTGGCTCCATTAAATGTACAATATCAGTTTTCTGCAATGCTCATGATTATTATTTTGCATCAGATAAGTTTTCAACTTATTACCCATCCCAAGTTATATATTAGTTATAAATATATTAAATTTATCATGAAAATATTGAAAATTATTATTTACTTATTTTAATATTGTTTACATTGCAGACTGGATTATAGAAATGAAATCCCCCATTTACTCTATGGCATGAACTGCGAGCGCCTTGTGTCCGTCATTGAGAACAGCAGAATAGATCTTAAAACATTTTTGCTTTTAGAGGAAAATGATATGATAAAATTGGGCATTGATATGCCATATGAAAGACAAAGATTAAAATATGGATTGCGTGTATTTCATTTGAAGGGCTGGAAATTGGATGCAGTGGCAGGATTGTATGCCCGAAAAGTTGGCAATTATAGGTTTGTTTTGTTCATTAATTTTTTTCCGCTAAAATACACAAATATATTGATAGATTTTTCTGCATATATCTTCATAGTCGTAGAATTCTGACGGATCTATATATGTAATATTTGTCAGATCCGTCAGTATTCTGCGACTATGACGATATGTATACATTTTGAGATATTCCAATTTACAACCAGGAATCAAACAAAAATAATTATCTGAAAAATTTGTTGCTTTTACAATTTTCTTGTAACAAAATAACCTAATAACATTCTCACCTACCTAATTCTAATGTAAAGTGATAATAAATATTTCTGTAAAAAAAGAAAGATACATGTACAATGTACAAATTTTGTAACATGAAAATATTTTTGTAGAATGTTATGTATAAAAGTCTTTTCGAATTGCCTATAGTATTAAAATTTTTGACACTTAATATCTTCTTATAAATTCTCTTATACATTTTAGTGTTCTTGATTGCCTTACAACTTTGGGTACCCATCTACAACAAATATATGTTCTGGAAGCAAGCCTACAATACACTGTACGTGAATATACTAAAATTAAAAATCTAATAAAATCTGAACCACCCGATTCACCCTTGATTATAAAAATGAAAACTACAGCCAAAAAAATGGTGACCAATATTAACAGTATTAGAAGAGAAATTAAAAATATGAAAACCATTCTCAATAAGGTAAGAAAAATTATCTCTTTAATTTCCTATAGTATAAAGTGTAGTAAATGTTGTGTCAGAATATTACACAATAAATTTTATCAAAATAAGTGTCATTATTATTTTATTTTATTTTAATTAGAATGTCGAGCAATCGCAATAATCTTATTATTAACCTGAATAATCAAATAAACATGAAAACAGATGTTATAGACGACAAAGATAGATACCACAGAAATAACCAGAGGGAGACTTTGTACAAAAGTCGATTGCTTGGGTACCTCTGTCTCATTCGTGTTTCAACCGTGAAGCAGTTGTGTTTGCATGGCTGTGTTTCGGTTTGAGGGCTGAGATATGGCGTGAATTTACTGGGTACAGAGGAATAACACCTGAGTCCTCAGGAATGGCAACGTATGGGGGGTATCATGGGCGAAACAGTATACTCTGTTATGTCCATGGTACTGCTCATGTCTGTAGGCGACGGTTACCACTTTCCACCAGGTGGGCCGTCAGCTTATTTGCCATTCTAAGTTGTATAAAAAAAAAACCACAATTATGTTTTTAAATGGTTTGAACACACTGACACGAAAAAGAGGGCGCAACTTTTATCATTTTATCAGAATGCTCCAAAATGGGGATCATTTCTTATCAAGATCATTAAACATTTTAATGAATAATCTTAAGAATACAATCTCATTGCAACATTTATTTTCATAAGTATCTCTGTTTTTATGAACCCTCGTGTTTTTTTTGTATACAATATGTATGAATTTAAAAAGTAAGCTTGTCTATCGGTTTTTTTTGATGGGTGAAAATGGAATGGTAACCTCGCCTGCGCTAACGGGATACGCTGGCGGAGCACCAGTGAAGGGTGATAGATGAGAATGAAAACAGGCCAGTTAGCCCATCATGATGAATTCATCAGGAATTAACCATGATAGTTTCCAGGGGGAACCACAAGGAGGTCGACCTGATTGGGTATATTGCTAGCAATGGGATTTTTAGTCTCCATTACTAACAATCTCTTTCCCCCCTTGTCTATCGGTTGTAAATCTATATATTGTAATCATAGTACAAACTATGCTTAGCTTGGCGCTAGATAAAGTTGTGTATTATTTTTTGTACAAGTTGTGTATGGCAAACAAACCGCCTACTAATAGAAAAAAGTAATTGTCGTTGTATATTGATATTAATAGCATCGTAAAAATCACAGAATATACTGTGACGAGCTTAATATTCAAGAAATGTATAACAGCATAACTGCGGTTGCCAACCCGCCAGCCAAGCGTGGAAAGTATGGGCAAAACCCCCCTAATAGAGGGAAACCTATGTTCAGCAGTGGATAATTAACAGCTGATATGGCATTGTGACGAGCATGGTACCCTTCATGTGATTTTTCTGACGACAACAATATTGTACTTTTGTGGCTTTTAATTTTATTGTCATTTCGCATCTTTCAAACCGACACAATGTCACGCTAACAGAGCTGCTTTGCGATAGAAATACGAAAAAAGGTGCCCAACTCGTCAATTATTGTACAGTCTTCCTTAATTAGATGTTACAAAGCTATTTTTTAAAGTTATGTTAAGGCGGTATAATTAAGTGATTGTAACACTGTCTGTAGATATAATTAGGTTCAAAAACATAATTAAATAATATCTAAATATTTCAGATAAACAAAAGCAATCCAGAACCGACCGATGTAATTCGAGAAAAATCAACTCAAGAAGTAGTCATGGGTTACATCACAGACGCGCTAGCAGTTTGCACACTAATTATGATTGTGTACCATGCCAGAAGTTGTTTCTCTAAAATACTAAACAAATAAAAATGATATTATTACATTTGATATTTAAAAGAAAGAAATACTTTATTTAAGTAAACTTTGATTTAAGCATTTTTAAATAGTCTTTTTTTTTATACCGACCATTTGGATTGCAATTTCTGCCAAGAAAAATAGGCAAGAAACTGTCGCTTTCTCCAAAAGTTTAATTAAATAAATAAAGTAGGTACAAACTACTAAGAAGTGGCAGATCATAAATTTAATATACCTAGTCCAGCCATAAGTTCCGTTACAAATGAAAATGCGTTTTTTTTATGAAGTAATGTAATATTATTAAAATTCATACCTACATATTTGTTAAAGTCTCAGCAAAAAATATTCTATTCGAAATGGCCATATTTCAAATGGCTTTTATACAGGCCTTTACTCTGTCTGGCCACGAATCTATGGATTTACGCACTATTTCCAAAGGAAATTTTGCCACTGCTATTTTTTATTCCTTAGTTTATTTTAGTTGCGAATGCACATTAATATTATTTTTGATCACTAAATTAATTAAAATGAGCGACGTGTTCGCCTGGCCTACATATGAGCTAAATTCAGAACATTGCTGCTATTGGCCAGACTATAATATTAATTTATTTCTCCCACAAATAACCACAAATATATAGTAATACATAGTTGTATACGAGCATTGGCACCTGTTACTAAGTGGTAAGCAACTGTTATAAATAACTTTTTACAAATACTTCAATAAAGTTTAAACACCAAAAATCGACGTAATGACTCGTAGACATATAAATGAGTAATTGAAAATCTTTTCATGTATAACGCCAAAAGTCTGTCTACATAATTACTTGCAGTTCTTTGCTGCGTAAAAAATAACAACGTGTTAAAGGAAGGTTCAATCTTCACAAAATTGCTACACTATATGCATCTAGACAATAAAAGGCGAATTAGTATCAGTAAAGAGATGACCTTTTCGCCTGATTTACTCCGCATATGAGTTGTAGTTTTATCAACCTAAGTTTTATGCGTACATGTAGCTATACATGTAAAATGTCTCAAATCCTAATTGAATTTGTAACATATATGTGTAGAAACTTATTTTCTTTATAATCTTCATATTAGTATTTGTTTTTATGGACGATAATGGAGTAGGAACCCCGCTTGCGCTATCTGTATACGCTGGCAGACATCAGTGAGGGATGATAAGTGGATAATGATAAAGCAGGTCAATTAGCTCATCGTGATGAATGCACCTGGAATTCAGCACGATGGTTTCCAGGAGGAACCGCGTGGAGGTCATATGAGCTAAATTCAGAACATTGCTGCTATTGGCCAGACTATAATATTAATTTATTTCTCCCACAAATAACCACAAATATATAGTAATACATAGTTGTATACGAGCATTGGCACCTGTTACTAAGTGGTAAGCAACTGTTATAAATAACTTTTTACAAATACTTCAATAAAGTTTAAACACCAAAAATCGACGTAATGACTCGTAGACATATAAATGAGTAATTGAAAATCTTTTCATGTATAACGCCAAAAGTCTGTCTACATAATTACTTGCAGTTCTTTGCTGCGTAAAAAATAACAACGTGTTAAAGGAAGGTTCAATCTTCACAAAATTGCTACACTATATGCATCTAGACAATAAAAGGCGAATTAGTATCAGTAAAGAGATGACCTTTTCGCCTGATTTACTCCGCATATGAGTTGTAGTTTTATCAACCTAAGTTTTATGCGTACATGTAGCTATACATGTAAAATGTCTCAAATCCTAATTGAATTTGTAACATATATGTGTAGAAACTTATTTTCTTTATAATCTTCATATTAGTATTTGTTTTTATGGACGATAATGGAGTAGGAACCCCGCTTGCGCTATCTGTATACGCTGGCAGACATCAGTGAGGGATGATAAGTGGATAATGATAAAGCAGGTCAATTAGCTCATCGTGATGAATGCACCTGGAATTCAGCACGATGGTTTCCAGGAGGAACCGCGTGGAGGTCGACCTGACAGGGTATATTGCTTGCAATGGGGCTGGTAGCCCGCATTAATTTTTTCCCCTCATATTGGTGTATTAGATAACCAAGTTAAATTAGTAAAAGTCGATGCATGCAAAGGATTTTTTTATAATACATATGGAAGACATCAGATTTTGCTGATATCTATTCAAATATATATAACACTCAACATAAATTTTTCAATAGAATGCATCGCTACACTGTGACTTGTTTATTATTAAAATTATGATTGTCAGTTGCTTGCAAATATCATAATGAATCGACCTTGCCAACTACGTCTGAGATAAATCACTGAGTATAAATAGATTCTATCTATTATAATAATTGAATGTCGTGTTGTCATCGGACATTTATCTATTTTATGTTCAATTTTTTTATGCAACTTACAATGGCAAACAAGCTGACTGTCCACCTGATGGAAAGTGGTAACCGTCGTCTATAAACATGAACATTACCATGGACATAACAGAGTATACTGTTTCACTCATGATATCCCCCATGCAGGGGGAAGGGATTGTTAGAAATGTGGACTACCTGTTCCATTGCTAGCAATATACCCTGTCAGGTCGACCTCTACGTGGTGCCCTCTGGAAACCATCGCGCTAAATTCCAGATGTATTCATCATTCATGTATTCTGGTTGGGTATATTGCTAGCAATAGGATTCTCAGTCTCCATTACTACTTTCCCCCCAGTTACTGTGGTTACCTAGTGTCATAACAAGTAACTAATTTGAAAGAAAATATTTAAAAACACTACAGTCTAGTCGAATCTTATCATCAAGACTACAAATTTATCTTATTTTTATTTGCAAATAACTTTCATTAGCTGCACTTTAATAAGTGTACGTATGTATTTGTGTATAAGAATCTTAAACAAACGTTGGAAATTATTACGCAATTGGGCATCATATGAATAACCACAAATTGTCACAGCTTGAACTGAAATATATACTTATTTTAAATGTATAAATGTAAACCGCAATATCTACCTAATTAAAGTTTGAATTTGCATCAACTTAAACTAAAATTTATGTCCTATGTTTGACTTTGTCTGGTTAGAAATAGATTCAGTCTGTATAATACAGTCACAGCTCAATTACCAAATAAACTATTTCATTCATTCATTCATATCTGCCGTTAACTGTCTACTGCTGAACATAAGCTTCCCCCAAAAGGGGGATTTTGCCAGTAGTTGCCGCACTTGGCAGGCAGATTGACAACCGCAACTGAGCTTTTGGTGATGTTTTTAGAAGGGCGCTGCTACACTTCTCTCCACCATTAGGTAATAAATACAATGTTTTTTTTAATGGGTAATAATGGAATGGTAACCCCACCCGCGCTATCGGTATACACCGGCTGGGCACCAGTGAAGGATGATAGGTGAGGATGAAGCAGATCAGTTAGCCCATCGTGACGAATTCAACAAGAATTGTTCACGATGGTTTCCAAGGGGAACCACATGGAGGTCGACCTAATCAGGTATAAAATATTGCTAGCAATGGGGCTGTTAAACTCCATTGCTAACAATCCCTTTCCCCCCAATACAATGGTTAGAATGGCTTCCTTTAAGTATTCGCCTAATGTTTGAGTTAATTGTATTATTGTGAAATTGTTAATGAGACTTAAAGTAGTAATGGGTTATGATAAAGTTGAAAGAAACTAATATCGTAACTGTTTTTTTTTTTTTAATTAATAATACACTACATATAGAAAGCAAAGACCATAGTCGTGCAGCAAAAACATTTAGTTAAAACCGTTACTATATCTGCTATTTATAAATTTGCATGAGTCTTCACGATCCATAAAATATGATATTTATTTCTGAACATCTTAATGATACAATATAAAAGATGTTTAACTCTGATCTACAGAAAGAACGGAGTTATAAATACATCATGTATTTGTTTTATTTATTTTTTAGTTTATTTTTGTTCTCGATGTCGTAGTTTCTTAAAGTCGAGTGCCAGAAATAATATATATCATATATTATTTTATAGTATATTATTTATTAGTTACATAATAATTATGTTTGTCTATACTTAATAATTATGACTGTTGATAAATACTTAGTGATACCTTAACGAGCTTGTTTGCTCGCTACTTCATACGTAAGAAAGCCAATGAAATATACCACTTCTAGATGATGTGTCAAGAAAATAGATAAATTTTATGTTAGATCATCAGAAACACAACTGTGAAATCCGCATTCAATTTGCTGTTGTAGTTTTTGCGTGATGCTGGAACAAACAGTTTTTTTTTATAACACAAGGCAAACGAGCATGCGGCTTACCTAATGGTAAGTGACTATCGCCGCCCATGATTACCCACAGCACCAAAGGCATTACAGGTGTGCTGTTAGCCTTTTAAAGCAAACATACAGACACAAAATAAAAAAAAAATATATTTTTATACAACTTAGAATGGCAAACAAGCTGACGGCCCACCTGATGGGAAGTGGTAACCGTCGCCTATAGACATGAGCAGTACCATGGACATAACAGAGTATACTGTTTCGCCCATGATACCCTTATTAAGATCCCTTATATCCTTAAATATCTCATGTACAGGCATAATCTAATTATAATTTTATTATAGGTATTAGTATAATACTGTTCAATACAATCATTTAACTCTTCGAAGAGCACGCAGTAACCGTAAATCCAGTCGTCGTATGGTAAATCATTTTGAAAGTCTTCATGTAATTGGAAGACGGCCTAAACTCCACACCATCTCTCTTGATATCGATACCCTCTCAAAAGTAGTAATAGTAACACAATATTTTATAATAAATACCTAATTAAAAAAAAAACAAAAATCTTAAAATTAGACAAATAAGTTGTTTTGGCAAAAATTCGGGCATGTGCTTGTTAGGTTAGGTTTTTATTTATATATTTAGGTTTTTATTTTACTGTAATATATTTGCTTTATACTCGTAGCTTGAAAATAAATCTTATCTTACTAATATATAATATAATACCTAAAACTGTAACTAGAGGAAATATGTACATGGGAAATATTTAGGAAAAATTAATATTAGTGATCTTAATAAAACTAGTAAATCTCTATTGTTTATAAATTTTGTCAGTGACATCAGTATCAATGACACATATGGCACATTCCTGGTTTTACAAACATCCATAGCCTATGTTACTGTACCGTAGGTAACTCCATTTACCATCAGATGGGCCGTATGCTGGTTTGCCACTATAACAGTATAAAAAAAATCTAGTAATTGTCTGTTTCGTTGAAACTACTACTTCTCTCTACACTCACTAGTACAAAGTAGCGGACAAAATATAGTTGTTCAATATAGATAAAATAAATATTTTTATATGATTTAAAAAAAAAGGAGTAAACATTTATTTCAACTTTATTAATGTAGTGACTCATCGCTGAACACCCCAACTTTTAATAATTACCAATGACTCATTTTATTCTGAAAGCTTTCTAAAACAATGTCTTGGTGAGTCAGAGGTGTAGGTATATTTATAGCTATGCAATCAAGATTGCATGTATTTTGTACACTTATGAAGGAATAAGTAATCCATTTGTAGGTATTTTGTACTGTAAAGTTATAAGCCAAATAAAAAAAAAAATATTAAATTCGTCTGACTAATAATCGAACTAGGAACCTCAATAACGCAAAGTAACACACCACTGTGACATGACGTCATAATCACAGTCCGATATCGACATAAATTAAACTAGATGTTTCCTCTTGATACTAATCGGTCTTCAATTTATGATTACTATACTATACCATATCATACCATATCAGCCCTTAATTGTCCACTGCTGAACATTAGCTTCCCTCTATTGGGGGATTTTTCCAGTAGTTCGCACACTTGGCAGGCGGGTTGGCAACCGCAGTTAAGCCTTGTAGAAGTTTTAAGAGGGGCGTTGCTGCCCAACCCGCAGCCATTAAATTCCCTTAGTCGCTTCTTACGACACCCACGGGAAAGGAAGTGGTGGGCTTTTATGTGACGGGACCACATGGTCATTTATGATTACATTTTGTGCTAACTATAATAAATTTGACGAAATAAATATGCATTGTACAATTTTATGCTTATTGCATTAATAACTGTCTATGATAAAGCAAATATGGTCAACTTTTCATGGGTACCCACTTATTTTTTTAATAGTAACAAAATTTGTACTTATGTTGAAACTAGACGGCTGTTACAAACATTTTCTTAACATGAAGAAATGATTCTCAACCGAACCCCAAATGTGGCACAAAAATATTTGTCATTGATTTTGTCCTTTTTTGTTACTCGACTTTTACTAATAAGTACAATTGTAACGAAAGAGACATGTTTTTACATACAGAATGAATGATTTCTCACAATACCCTCATCATTGCATTAAACATACCACGTTAACTTCCCTCTGCTGAACATAGGCCTTCCCCTATTAGGGGGTTTGACAATAGTTGCGACGCTTGGGAGACGGGTTGGCGACTGAAATTAGGCTTTGGTGATATTTTTAAAGAGATACTGCTGCCCATCGCTCAGCCTTAGTCGCCTCTTACGACCCCCATGGGATAGGATTAAAATAGATTAAAAAACAGGATGTTAATAAATAATGAAAACAATATTGTTTTAAGTTTTATTGACATCTAAAACTTTCATAACAACTGTTTGTACTAAAATATAATATGTGTATCAAGTTAAAAGCTGTTAAATTGGTGTGTTGTTTGTTATAGCTGCTGATAGCAGGCGATGTTAAGCAAAATGGACTTTAATCAGTTTGTAAATAAGACACTTCTCTAATAATCCTCGTTGTATGCTTCCATAGCCATAACCTGCGCTGATTTTATGTAAACTGTACTTACATATTGTACATAATTTTCAACGAACACGTTATGTAAGCTCACTTGAATTTCTTTAGTATTATTGAGAACTTACAATAATTAATTAAAATGTTTAATAACCGGATAGATCATGTTTAATTCTAATCACATTAGTGATCAATTTTTAAATCAACCGAAATACCCAACACAACGGAAAAAATGCAATATGTAATGTTGTTCCAACTCCTAACAATCACAGTGAAAGCAATGTCATAAAGCAACATTCAAATGTACAGTGCAGAATGCATCTGTGCTCTACAATGAACAATGGAATATAGCTCAACGAGAGTAATTGACCGGTTACAACGTGTAAGTGTTAATTAAGATAATTTTGAGATTCTCTTCTCTTTTAATAATAAATCTAAATAAATATCAGAGAATATCGCCAATACTCCTTACAGTAATTTATGAAACATAAATTAAAATAAATTATTAACAATATGGAATTGCATGCGTCGCACTGGATAGCCACATTTGTAGTTGCTCAGTGCTTCTGAATAGGAATATTCCTATCCGTGATTGCCAGCTGAGGCAGAGGAGCCTCCACTGTTAGAACACCGTCTCGCGACAACGACGACTTGATCGCCTCAGGATTTGTGCCCTTTGGCAACAGGAATTCCCTATTGTACTCTCTGTATACTGATTTTGTATCTGACTTCTCCTCGTGTTTGGCGTGCACCTGAAATTAACCACATGAACATTAAGTGTACAGTCAAATGAAAAAAATTATTGTCAAGTTATCTTTGAATAATAGCTATCATAAACAGTCTTCCGTTGTAATATTTTAATTTTGGCTTTACTCAGTGCGATTCACAACATGGTTATGTGACGGGTTCATAAATAAAAACTCACGTCAAGTCCGAAACTATTTTGGCCACACCGAAGATGGAGGTCGTAAATAAAGCCGATATTAATAATTGATGAGATATCCTTATAAAATTTATAGACTATATTGGTCAATGAGTAAATCTCATTAATAAACTCTACCATTAACTGACTGACAGATAATGCACAATCCAAACCAGCAGGTCTGCGAGTATGGAATTTACTAGAATAAATTCTTGGTACGTATGTAGCTATATGACGTAGACGAGCGCTATGAACAAATTTTCTGAAATTTCTACGCTAATAGAAGTACTGTGTTGATATTGATAGAATACAATCTTACATAACTTTATCGTGGATACGTATCAAAAGTAAAACCTTTTAGGCAGGTATTCTCTATAGACGTAAACTATTTCGAGATTCAGACCGAGTTTAAAAACAACTTTATCTACATTTAAAACACTCAAGAATTAAACACTGTGACAACAAAATTAATGTTAAATATCCACGTTGTAACGCTTCCACGAATAATTCGCCAAACTATGTATAATAAAAACAAAGAATAATCTTCGCAATTTATATAACAATGAAATTTGTTGACTGTATTTCACATCTGTAAGTATTGATGCAGCAGTACCTATATTCAATTTATTCTTGTCTCATATACACCCACATAGGAATTTTACAAATACAAGAGCTAAAGATCTGTATTTGCGCTGTTTACTCCGATAAAAAAATTCTATACGAGCACAAAAATGATAACGTACTCTGGCATGATGCCGACGCGACGCGGTGATATTTGAGACATTTTTTCTTGGCTACATAAATAAACACAGTTCATTATTTTTCGGACAATTTATCTTCATTAGACCATGACAAAATCAGAGGATGCACTTGCGACAAGCGGCGGAAAAATAGTTATTTTAAATGACGACGCGATTAATAGCCACGACTAGGTACCAATTTGTACCAAACCAACCAATAAGTATCTACGTAACATGTAAGTTGTTATTTTAGGTATGCAACTGTATTTATAGTAATAGGTATACTTATAGAAAGAATTGTTAGAAGCTTTGTTACGTTCGTTTTTATTGTTTTTATGCAAGTAAAGCAAACGACGTGTTTTCAAACTTCCACAAGTTTATATTCTGACGAATAATATTCTAGAATACTTTTGTTGAGGTTCATCGACTTTTTAACTCTAGTCTACGTTCAATGTCTGCATTTGAACGCTTTTATAATTTATCGTAGCACGGCATTGATATCATGCGATATTATAATAAATATGATTTTATCGTTACGATATAATAAGAGAGTCAAATGTAATATGCAATTCCATGGAGATGCTTTTAATTTTCCGCGATGATATCATAGACGTGCACGGCATGATGATCTCATGAACGAACAGAAATTTGAAAGCGTTTCTATCAATTTATATATAACTGGCCAATTCTAAAAATTTTTCTTACTAAATTTGAATTTTATTTTACACTTTATTTAAAACTTCAGACATTTCTATATAATAATTTTAATATGTACATGATTTTTTCAACTAACACCATTTATTTTAATAATACGTATTGTTCTTACTAGTCTCACTATATCTACCTACATATGCCTAGCTAATTGGAATCACATGTCCTTGTACGATTATAAAAGCAAACGATTATTACTTATATACCTACTATATTTATTTAATTTATGTCAGCTCGAATATGCAAATTATGCAAAATCTCCAACACTACACCAAATAAGGGGGAGTCTATCAATTGCGTGAGGATTTTTATTTTATTTTATTAAACTTACCAATAATTTGTTGTCGACTGTTTTGACGACGATCTCTTCGGGGGTATATTGGCTGACATCAAAACGGAGCTTCAGTGATTTGCCATCCCCTTCATCTTGGATCAAGGGAGAGTTGAGACTGTCCCAGTGGCTGGGCTCAGCCAACTGTCTGCTATCACTGTGTTGTGAAGATGTGGTGGAGCTGCGAATAGTTAACAAAATTATGTTTAATAATAAATATATCAGTGTCTGTCTACTCGACTATACCCAGCGCATATTGTAGTGCATTACATTATAACCCGAATGTTTCCAGTGTTACGTTTACTAATGAATAAAGAGATTAGTAACTACCTACAAAGTTATATTTACCGTAACTACATTTTACTAATAGACACATACATTTATACCGTCCTGATACACACATATATAGATAGAAGTGTTTACGGTCGATGGTTGCCATGAGATTTTGGTGCACACACAGTCAATTTCAACCAGAATTAGTTACTAACACCATTATCAAAGCAGGTACATTTCTATTAGCGATACCGCTAGAAAATATCTATCGAATTTAGTTATAATAGCGAAAATAGATACACTTAAGAAAATCATATATCAATTAACATAGTCGTTAACCTAATGAAAAATAACGCTGTCCGCACTTATGAAAAATATTGTACTACGAATAAAGTTTTTTTTTTTTTTTATAATTGCATAGTATTTGTAAACTATTGCTATTAGAGTAGATATCAAAAAATTAGATGTATTTAAATTTTTTCTACAAGCAATGTCACAGATGATATAATAGTTCTTTACTACGTAAGCGGTATCACTTTTGGTACCTACTTTGTTTAGGAGGGCTAAGTAGATTTGCGAACATTAAATAAGAGACATTCACCGAAAATGGATATGTTTACGCTGCTTACACATTATTAATACCTACCTTATTTTATATGACAAATCTTAATGACAAATGTTATTGAACGGTTAATATGTTTAACAATTTCTGAGACACCAAGATTGATACACGAGTTTGTGCATTAGGTACCTAAATATAATCGGTTGGATAAATTCAATTGGAACGATAACCTTTGATGACTTTAGCGCCGATAAATTATTTTTAATTAACAGAGGTGTAGAATTTAAAAATAAAACTACCTACTTAATCGAGCAAATGGTTTAATAATTGTAAGTAGTCATTGCTTCAATGACAGTGACGGTATTATTTATGCTTATTAGATTTTGATAGCGAAGCATAATTTCAAGCTGTAGATTTTACATTATCTTATTGGATTGTGCTACTAAACCGTTCGTCAATTCAATTACTTATTTATCTTTATTTGTTTAAGTTTATTGACCAATAAAATGTAGTATAAAAGGCGAACTTAATGCAATAAGAACATTCTCTGCTAACCAACCTTTGGGATTATTATTAAAAATATATATAACTACAAAGAAGCAAATTTAAAAAATGTGCTTGTAATAAGCAGTTATTGTTAATTGCATGCAACATATGTTAGTTTCCTTGTAATTGAATGTGATAAAAGAGTTTTTAATAATCTTGTGACGACGGCTAAAGTGAAAACAAGTATTATAAACATGCAACACGCTATCCACAATCCCCCATGTATTTATTTCGATCCATTTAGTTTTAATTGCAAATGCAGGTTTTAACGACTTGGTCACGCAGACGACTGTGCAGGATCATTCAATTTAATTGTAATTTTAACAAAATTTATACCTAGGTATCTAGCCGTTGATTATTCAATAAATTATAACCATAAAAGCAACAACAATGTTTTATTTTTACTATTTTTACTAAGTAATTCGACGAACTAGACAGAATATTTAGATATGCTTGTACAAGTAAATATAGTTACAGAGAATTTTTTATTATTTATTCTTATTAATGAATCTGTTTTATGAAATACTTATTTTAGTTTCTCATGATTACTGTCTCAAAGAAATAAATAAAAGGAAGTACACCTAATAAAATTCATTGGTTTATTAGGAATCCGTATTATTGTTGTAAGAAATTTCTAGAACACAATTTCATAAGAGAACTATATAGCGTTATTATATGCTTGAAAAACATCAGCAGAGTTTGTCTGTATTTATCATAATTCATAATCTCCATTGTCTATGAGTCTAGACATTGTCTCATCTATCAACATCAGTAATTTGCCTGAGTACTTATCCGCTACATGAAATAACAAATTATTTTTATAACGTATTCTAGTTGAAAGTAAATTTTGCTCATAATTTGAATACTATATTTTTTGTATACCCGATATTGACGATTCCTTTTTTACAACACAATTTTTAAAACACATTTTATACTACGCATATAATAGATATAGATAATATACTAATTAATTTGTTATGGTTAAACACTATATATAAAGTAATTATATATGAAATTGAACATAAATAATAAAATATAAATAATTTTATTCATTTCAAAGTAATTTAATAAATATTTTCTTGAATTGTGATGTAAAATAACACTTCAAGGCTAAAATACCCAAAACAGAACTAATTCCGAAAACTTCGTTTCCTAAACTGTCCGGCCAAAAATCGAATCAGTTACGTCATTTAACTACGCAAAACATCAACGTGCCTAGCATTGAGCCACGGAGGTCATTGGTGGTCATTGACAAAAGGTTAGATATACTTAATGGTATTTATCTGATATCTAATGGTACAAAATTCTTAACCTTTCCAATAAAAATATTTTTACTAGGTAGTAACAACTACTAGGTTAGGCAGTATGTGCATTGTGGATATTTCCGCTTTTGCGATTGATTATCATATAGCTGATGTCATCTTCGTGTATGCAAGCACAAGGTCAACGTCAACAAATGATTTCATCAATATTTAGAGTAGGTGGACATTATCAATATAATTTGTGACCAAATGGTTGTTCAATGTCGCATGGTTGACATGTACTATGTAACTTAACCCACCAGCACCGACTTCTATAAACACATACAAGGTATCTACTTACGTAGCTACTTAGTTATTTCTAATACTCTCTAATCCAATCCAAATCTTGTGGGGGGAAAGGGATTGTTAGTAATGGAGACTGAGAATCCTATTGCTAGCAATATACCCAACCAGGTCGACCTCCTCGTGGTTCCCCCTGGAAACTATCATGGTTAATCATGATGGGCTAACTGACCTGTTTTCATTCTCATCTATCACCCTTCACTGGTGCTCCGCCAGCGTATCCCGTTAGCGCAGGCGGGGTTACCATACCATTTTCACCCATCAAAAAAAAAAAAAATCCAAATCTTGTACCGTGCAAAGATTTATATGATAAGTAGGTAAGTTAGTATAAGAGATAGATAATGAATAAACTAGGTACTATTTTTTGACGATGACATAGTAAACAAGGTCATTTTTTGTTAACCTGCTGACATATTTAAAACAAAATGTTATTGACAATGGTGGGCGTAATGTAGCCTCTATCGAAATATATATAGGCTCCTCTATAAATTATCAATATTTATGACAAAATGTAATAATACTAGTATTCACCCACAACTTTATCCACATGACTGGGACATGTTGATTAACCACAATAACAATAATAACTTGTGTCCTTCTGTATCCTAAATACTAAGTGTGTATACCAAACTCCATGACGGTTAAGAAGTAACAAAACCAAACCCACTTTCATATTTTATTATTATTTATGAATAGGTATATGTTGTCAAAGAAGTAAACTTCTCTGGTTTAATTCAAGATTTTGCACCGCAAAACGCTACTTTAAACTCTATCGATTGCAAAAGGAATTATCAAAATCAGTTTATATTTGACGATAATATTGCGTAACTTAAAAACATAACATAAACTCTTCATATTCTCTTCATTTATATTATTTTACTTGTATAAGTCAATATAAATAACTCCAAAGGTTGGCTTTGTACTTTTTCCACCTGAAAAGTATCCGGTACTCTTAAGCTAGGTATATAATTACATTTCTATTAGACATTGATTTTGCAGATTATTTTTTATTAATATATATGTAACAAATAAACTAATAAATTGGATATTTTACTTAAATTTTATTAAGCATAGTAATTACATACATGATTCATAAAGAAATATTCTTGTTATCCTTGCTCTTATTTAAAGTTAGATTCTGTGTCCGGGTCTAGAAAGTTTAAGTCATGACTATATTAGCGAAATAAGAATTTCACAGACCAAAAAATTTGACAAAAATTATCTGTGATGCAATAACAAAATGCCCCGTAGAAATACATAGAATTCTTGTAACAAACATATAGAAATGTTAATAAAAAGCTAGTACAACATAGAAACATAAATACAGATAATTAATAACTACATAAATACATGCATAACGAAGTATAAGTAGTGTTCCATGATACATCGATACATAATGGGGTTTACCTCTCTGAAGACTTGGTTACTCCTCCGGAAGAAACAGATTCGAAATTGTAAGACATGCAAAAGGCAATATTCTTGTTAGTTTTATTAGTTCTAACAATTTATCTTTTAATATTTCAATGATAAATATTTTAATTCAAAATAAATAATCGTGAAAAGCAAAAATTATCAAATGGAATGATATTCTTATTTCTAATTTAGTATTTGAATGACAGTTACATTAGAAACTAAAAAATACACGCAGCACTAGGTATCAGGCATGTATGCGTTTCAAGTTTATTATTATAATAATCTGAAATCTTGCATATTTACTATATAAAAATGCCTATTAAATACCTAATTTAATAAACCCTTAGATACTCCTAGACTGGAATTACCCTCTAGCCTACTGGTCAAAAGACCCAGGCACATTACAGTCATAAATATCTTCTTGTGTTGAGATATTTTATTAGAGTTATATAAAATAAGCATATATATGTATTCAATATTATTATATTTGTATGTATCTATATAATAAGTATATGTAATAATTTGCATACGTTAAAATTATTGCTATGTTAAATCATATAATAATTAAAAAGCTAGATAAATTCATCAAATAAATAATTATGTTTCATTCTATATAATGAACTCAAATCTCTGTCTGCCTATCTAATAATACTGAATGCAAAAACAACGGATTGTTTGACTACCTATTTGTGACGTCAATTGCCAACAATTGGCGCGTCGTGTAACCACTTGTTACTGTACAAAGAATACGTAGGTTCTACAGTTTTCGTCTTTGGTAACAGCTGCTAAAACCAAATATGTCCAATCGTTTCTTGCTAAACTATATAGCTAGTTCAACCCACACTCATAATTGTTAGTAGCTACTTAAATAGTATGGGCGGACAAGTCACAAAGTGCCCACACTTGAATAATTGAGCAAGAACCTAAAAATATTTAGTGACGACATTCGGTAATGTTTGTATTTTATATGACCAACAGACGCACTGTAGTAACTTGTTAAACGAGAGTAATATTCGTGCCCAACGTACAGTTACTCAAACTGGCTTGTCAGTGCCTGCATAAACAAAAAGCACCTATCTATTATAATTGAGATTGCGACATGGGCTTCTCGTAGCTGAACTGAAACAGTACATACTAGTTCCAAGTGGGTCAGGAATTCATGCCGTAAACATAAATTCAGCGAGTTCGCGGCTGCATTAACTGTATAACCACCCACTACACCTGATAAAATAATCGTAAACCGGTTTACATAAAGGATATTGCTAAAGACATTTCAAATGTCGCAGCGTTATACGTAGGCCACGACGATTTATATGATAAAAACATCGAAAATTCGAGGTTGCACTACTTTATGAATAGCAACAGCCATTGTACATTTATCACGCTATATGGAGGCGGTATGCAACTAATTTGCAGACATTGCGTAACACTCGTATACAGCGTGTTCTATTGTGTTTACAGTTTTACGCATTCCTGCGTTTTAGCAACAAATTACAAAATGTTCTCGTTGTAAGCCGATGTTACCGGCGCTATTTCTATTTATGACATCATCCCGCGTCGGGCTTACGTATCGCTGCACGCTTTAAATGGACGCGACTGAGATGTCTGCAGTTGATGCCGTTCCGCGGAATGATCCCGAATAATGCCTTTTGAATTAAAACTTTCGTGGTACCGTCATCGAGGCCACCTGAGGTGCGCGACTTTCTTGCGAAACTTCCAAACTTATTAATTCAAGATTCCCTTTTATGAAAACAAGGCCGGCAACGTAGCCGTTACGATCGGAATAATAATGCAAGTTATACATGTAGGCATAAACTGGAGGTGCTTCAACCCGGTTAAAACACCCACTTGCATTTCTAAATCACGGATACCCACGCTGATTTTGTTTAATGTTAATAGCCACTAAAATGGAAATCTATTCAGAATTTTTCGTTGATCTCTAGTGTTGCAATACGTAATTTATTAAGTATTAACTATTATGTATATATATTTAACTATAACCATCACATATAAGTATAATGTTTAAAAAAAAGTTAATAAATTTAACAAATATAAATAAATACCTAGTTGTGCTCTTGAAGAAATTGTTGCTTTCTCTGTTCATGAGTTCTGATCTGAATTTACTCATTTCCTCTTCCATTTTTCTCATTTCAGCGTCGAACCTCTCCCTGATGCTCGAGAATTCAGTGTCGATGACTGAAAAATCGCCTAATTTAATAGGGATGTTCCTTTTGAGACCACTGTCAGCCATTTTTCAGTAATATGTAAACTGATGTAACTATTAAACAAACACTGGCGAGGTTCTTCCTTGTGTAAACACAGTTCACAGTTGTGTAGTTACGCACTCGACGGTAGACAAGGCAACACTGATCATTAGTCGTCGACTCGGCGCCAGGGGGCTTGCGCAGAGTTTTAAATAGCCTCACGTTCGAACATCGCCACAGACTCGCTCGGCGTCATTCGGCCCACACTTTGCTTCTCGCTCATTCCAACAATCCACATTGCATGATGTTAAGACGCTCGACGTACCGAGTGAGGTGGCGGTAACGACTACGTTATTTAATTGATGAATCATTTCAACTGGATCTGTCTTTTCTGCTTATGGCAATCGACTCCATTATAAACACGATCTTGTTATTCATTGTGTATTTTTGTGAGATGTCGTATTGTATTCGTCATATCAAGAGGGCCAATTGTACGTAATTATGCACCCAAGAGTGCCTACACCTACCTACAAGCTTAGTCAAAACTTATTAAAATGCTGATAAACTGCTATATGTTCAATCATTTAATTCTGAACATAGGTACTCTACTACACTCACACAGTTGTCAACATCGAAGCATTTAATGTAGTCCCATCTCCAAAAAGAAGAAGACATCACAAACACATACCTATGGTTGTACTTACTTGCAATTCCCGCCCAAAAAATATCATTCGGTTCTTTCCATTTGACATAGATAAAAACCTAAGTCTATCTTCAAGCATATAAGGTGGTCTTAAAAAAATATTTTACCAGTAAACTAATCGTTATTCTCAAAGGAACATGGGTTGGAAAACGAATAAACCCTTCGAACTTCCTAATATTAACATAGCACATTCAGAGTTAGCATAACTACACTACAGCTTTTTAATCTAGAAAGAAGATGGTTAATGACTATGGATGTATAATAGCGGAATAATATTTAAAGTTGGGTAGATGGTGTCACTTTTGTTAATGTACAATAACTCAGTATGTAAAATCATATAACATGCAATGAAGAATGTGTCACCGCCAAAAGTTTCATGTTACAAGAATATTTATACCGTGAAGGGACGTTGTTACAGCATGTACGTGTGTGCAACTGTGGTATTAGTCATAGTTTTTAATTTTATACAATAATACATTTGAAAAAGTTTGCTTATCAATGTAAAAATAATTCTAAGAGAGAGAAAAGATGGCAATGTCATGAAAAAAACTAGGAGAAAGGGAAAAAGGGCTGTGGATTTGTAACATAAGTCAAATTCCTAAAAGTTAGCTGTCATGGAACAGAGACAATTTACACAAAGGTTTAGTATAAATTTACTTCAATCTTTGAGAATAGTTTACTACACACATGACGTCTTCAAATTTCGTGAATACGTTTCAACCTTTCAATTTACCATCGCACACACCTACAGGGAGACATTAAAAGCTTTTACTCCAGTCAGTGAGTCATTTGTTAACGTCGAATGCTCTTACAACACAGGAAACGCAATGTTTAGACGGGAGACGTTATATCTATTTTTAGAAGCTTTTCAGTTAGTATAATACCTTACATACATACTTAGTAGCAATTTAGATAAACACACTTTAACACTGCGTTTGATTTTGAACTTTTGTTATACAACATATCTAGTACCTACTTATTGATGATTTGGTTACAAATGTAACCAACTCCTAGTCCAATGAATTCATCTATACAAACGTCAATAGATAAATATTCTACACATTCAGGAGATGAAAAAGAGCACGATGCATCGTTGAACAATAAAAACATCCTAATATTTTATCAAAATTTGATTTTAACGTTTCCTCTTGAAAAATTTTAAAGATTGAATAGGTATGATAATGATTCTAAAGCCTATGATTATTGTAGACATCTGTGCATAAAAATGCAACGTCACTTAGCTGAGTTAACGCTATTAATTGATCAAATTCTTTTATAGGGAGAAGGGGGTTGTTAGTAATGGGTTCTAATTGACCCACTGCTAGCAATACATCCTATCAGGTCGACCTCCACGCTGTTCCCCCTGAAAACCATCGTTTATTCTAGTGGAATTTGTCACTATGGGCTAACTGACCTGCCTTTTTATCTTCACCTATCATCCCTCACTGGTGCCCCGCCAGCGTATCCCGATAGCGCAGGCAGCGTTACCATTCCATCATCAACTATTAAAAAAAAAGATTATATAAAAGAGATTATAATACGACACACAAAACCCTTATTATTTTTATTAGTACTAAATACCTAAGATTAATATTATAAATACGAGTAATCCTATATGTTTGTTTATTTTTATCTTGATCAATCAACATGCTTCTTCCGAAGAATCACTAGTAGGTAGAATTAAAAATGTGCAGTAGCTCTGAGAAAATAAAAATATTCATTTACTGTTAAACTAAATAACTTATGACGAAAGAAGCTATTTTACTAAAAAAATACTATAATAATTTTAACTCGTATCTAAGCCCATATGAATGACACCTTAAAATTAGATTCTTTGTGATTGTGTAGATTTTTTAAAAAGGTTGCAAGGTTTTTCGAATATTCATCCCTTAAGTGGACAAAAATTTACACAGATCTGAAATGTGTTTATACATAAATAGAAATGCCAAATAATCTTAAGTCATATAGCCACAAACAGGAGACGAAGTCTTTGTAATATTCATCTCTTAAGTGTATGAAATATAACGAATATCAAAGGAATTTTTTATACAGCTAGAAATGCCCAATAAGCAGACGTCACACCTGATGAAAAATAGAAGACTTTGTCTATTAAACCAATACCACTGATTTCACTGAATGACAATTCAAAGACATCAATAACTCAATCTGATTTTGAAATTCAGATAACTACACTATCTATACTTATAATAAATCTGTAGAGAGGTCAATTCTGTACATGTAATATATTTCCAAAATAACTATCAGGGAGTGATAAGTGATCGATACTGATGCCAAAAATGCACTCAGTAAAATTTTTGTGTCTGTCTGTATGTTCATTATAGAAACAAAAACTACTCGACGGATTTTAACGAAACTTGGTACAATTATTGTTCATACTCCTGGGCAGGTTATAGTATACTTTTCATCACGCTACGATCAATAGGAGCAGAGCAGTAAAAGGAAATGTTGGGAAAATGGGAGAAGTTATTCCATTTTTAAGCTTCCATCGCGTGTGCAGCCTTAATGGCCACTTTTTAAAATGTAAAAATGTCCACCCGTGCAACGCCGGGACGGGCCGCTAGTTTGTGTATAAATAGGTAGTCTCAGAATATATTATTTTTCCCTACAGTAATTCTCATGAGAACGAGTTCGCAGCTTCTCGTAAGTAAATCCTCGATAAACAGCTGAAAGGTATAAAAATATTTTTGTGTGTGTGTGTGTGTGTGTTTTTTTTTTTATATTATACTACCGATAATATCCATGACCATTTCAATGTTCTTCTTGTTATTTTATCGCAAGTAATAATAGGAAGTCAAAGATCGAGGGTACGTGCCCACGACTTTCATTTCAGCCCAACATAGATCGGTCTGTGTGGTATGTTGATAAAAGCGATAAACTACGAGGTCGTTCACATCCCGCCATGATGAGAAGCAGAATGCCTGCACAATGAAAATGAGATAAGCAACACCTACTCTACTTTTTATACTTACAGGTTTCCTACAAAAAATCCTCACATTGACAGTTTTGAAATTTAATAAGATAAGAATTCTTTATACCTATGATATTAATGGAATTTCATTATATTATAGGTGAACGACCATTACCAAAAAGGAATAGTTAGAACGGTCGTATGACATGAACAAATGATACAAACCTTGCGGGTATGATAATTATTGTCCAATTGTAACGATTTATGACATTCGCCTCAATGTATTAAATAATAAATACATAAAATAAAATAAAAATTCAAGATGCAGAAAACCGAATATATCCCACATAAATGATCATATATATGTAATTATAGGAATAATATACAAGCTGATTTTTTTTTTCAAATTGTATGCCTATAGAAAATGCCTAATAGAACTGTATGTTACTATTAGAAATAACATAAATTGTACAGATTGTGTAAAAAAAGTGTATAGTCAGCAGAAAAATGCAAAAATTATAGAAAACCTCTTTAGTCTCAATGGACATTTATTTAACAACCGACCGCCTATAATTAAGTACCTATTGATGACAATGATGTTCAACGTTGAATAGACCTCCCCCTCGGGGAGTTTTGCCAGTAATTGTCATGCTTGGCAGGCGTGGTGGCAACCATAGTTAGGTTTTGTTTTAAGAGAGACGCTACTGCCCAACCCTCGACTATTAAATTTTCTTTGTCGCCTCTTACGACACCCACAGAAAAGAAAGAAGTGACCCATTCTATGCAGGGACCACACGCACCTAATAATATATAAGAATTACTATATAATTATTCTAAGGTTATTAACCATATCTTATGTGTACATACATTTTTAAGTCTACGAGTATCTCCCATATTTCGAGCTGACTCGTTGCCCATATCCAATAACGAGGACGGATCGCTCTGTCATTTACACGACCCAAAACTACAAAAAAATCTTCTAAGGCTACGTTTTGCTATGCTGTATACATGGCAGAGCCATTTGTTATGTTAGTATATTCGTGGTACTATCTTAAGTCTATGTGGTTCCAAACATTTCTATCACTTTTCTACTGTATTATTATACATAAATAAGATAAAATAAATATAGAGAAAATATATATTGCAATGAATTAATTCAAATATAAAAAAAAGAAATATTAAAAATAAATGTAGTAAGTAATTTTAATGATAAGAGGTTTTTGCTATTTTCTTACTAACAATTATAGTCTATATAATGCAGATGCAGCCTATCTAATACACATCGTAGGGGGGGGGAAAGGATTGTTAGTAATGGAGACTGAGAATCCCATTGCTAGCAATATACCCAACTAGGTCGACCTTCTCGCGGTTCTCCCTGGAAACTATCATGGTTAATTCCTGATGAATTCACCATGATGGGCTAACTGGCCTGTTTTCATTCTCATCTATCACCCGTCACTAGTGCTCCGCCAGCGTATCCCGTTAGCGCAGGCGGGGTTACCATACCATTTTCAGCCATAAAAAAAAATACACAGGCGATAGGTATGGTTGCTATATGGGAAAATTAATATGACAGTTGAACTTAATTCACATCCGTGAAATAAATGCTATATCAACTGATAAGTG